CGTTACTCAGGGACACAGAATCGTTACTCAGGGACACAGAATCGTTACTGAGGGACACAGAATCGTTACTCAGGGAATCGTTACTCACAATCGTTACTCAGGGACACAGAATCGTTACTCAGGGACACAGAATCGTTACTCAGGGACACAGAATTACTCACGGACACAGAATCGTTACTGAGGGACACAGAATCGTTACTCAGGGACACAGAATCGTTACTCAGGGACAGACACAGAATCGTTACTCAGGGACACAGAATCGTTACTCAGGGACACAGAATCGTTACTCAGGGACACAGAATCGTTACTGAGGGACACAGAATCGTTACTCAGGGACACAGAATCGTTACTGAGGGACACAGAATCGTTACTGAGGGGACACAGAATCTTTACTCGGGGACACAGAATCGTTACTCGGGGACACAGAATCGTTACTCGGGGACACAGAATCGTTACTCGGGGACACAGAATTGTTACTCGGGGACACAGAATCGTTACTCGGGGACACAGAATCGTTACTCGGGGACACAGAATTGTTACTCGGGGACACAGAATTGTTACTCAGGGACACAGAATCGTTACTTTCTGCTTCACAACCACTATTGAATTAAAGAGCATGTCAGACAACACGCAGAGGAGTGGCAGAGGAGGCAATGTTTCAGGAGCGAGCAGACGTGGCAGCAGAGGAAGGGGTCGAGGCAGCACTAGTCGCAGCCAGAGGCCAGTGCTCCCGGTGTCATCCAGCGGTCGTGTCTCCACCGACAACCCTGCCGTCATCGATTGGTTGACTCGGTCGTCTTCCTCTTCCCAGGTCACCTCTGACACCTACAGCCAACGGTCGGTGGGTACGTCAGACACAACGTTAGTTGGCATGGCCCGGGAGCAAGCCCACTGAAATCACGTGTCCTCTACCTGCCCCTGTCCTTTGGTGTTCCCTCACCAAGCGAAGTATCGCATGCTGTGGGCTCAGCCCCACTGTACAGTGAGGAAGAGCTAACAGAGGGCGGTCAGGAACGGGGGGAGACATCCTAAACATAAAATAAAGTGCAGCGCTAAACATATATAGATAATGACATGTATTCAATCAGTTCGATCAATAAAAAGTCCTCCTCAATTAGGTGACAGAGATTAGGTGCTCAAGTATGCAGGTGACTTAGGTATTCAGGTGACTTGGTTCAGGTATCCGTGCACGAAAGTGATAAAGCAATGCGCACTCACCAGACCTGCATAAAATATGCGCCTTTGTGTATAAATGATCCAGATGTCACCCGATACTGGGTGGTCCTCCCTCAGCTGTGTATGAGGCTGATGATCCTCTCCACTTAGGGGTCCCCCTGGTGTTGGACGTTAAAGGATCTGGTCTGGGTCCCTCCGGTGTATCCAGGAGCAGGTCTGCAAATTAGAGTGCTCCCCCTCCTTGCTGTTCCTTCACATGTGTGTTTCTCTGTGCTCACCTAAGGGGGGAGACATCCGCCTCTTCAGCAGCCAGGCGAAGAAGTACTGGCGAGGAGAGTGGCTCGGTAGCCGGTCTAGAGACAGGTCTGTCTCCTGACCCACACGCAGCCGAGGGGGCTAGTAGTGAGGCGGAGACCCTAATTGATGATGATGAGGCTGATCGCACTTGGCAGCCTCGTTGTCATCAGGCTATTGCTTCCGCATCATCAGGAGAAGAGGGTGCCAGCTTGGCAGCGAGCAAAACAGTCGGTGGGTTGCCCAGGAGGCAGCAGGGTCGCAGCAGTGTCAGTGGAGGCAAACGGCCACGGAGTAGAGCACCAGCTCCACTGCAGCCTACCACCACGGCCAGTAGTGGTGCCGGTGTGCACGGAGGAAGTAGCAGTCAGCCAGTGAGGAGTATCGGGGGCAAAGTTTCCTACTCGGCGGTGTGGCAATTTTTCGTCAAGCCGCCCGAGGAAGTAAACGTAGCCGTATGTCGACTATGTGGCCAGAAAGTCAAGCGTGGCCAGGGGGCCCATGTTGGGACTACAGCGTTGCGTCAGCATATGCAGCGTCGCCATTCGGTGGCCTGGGAAAACCGTGATAAAGATACGGCGGTTCTGCCTGCCCCAGCTCCCGCTCCATCACCCGCTCCGTTACTTGCTCCGTCACCCGACGTCAATCGCCCTCTATCAGCCAGTCAAGGCTCCAACACCTCTGCTGAGGGGAGTTGTCGCTCGTTGGCATCTTCCGCTCGTTCAGATGCTCCTTCTCCTGCTACTCCTCTTCACGGATTCCGTCAGCAGTCTTTCTTGGAATCCGTTTCCAAGAGACAACAGTTTGCGAGCACGCACCCGACGGTGCAGAAGCTGAACGTCCGCCTGTCCAAGTTGCTGGTGCTGCAGTCCCTCCCTTTCCAAGTGGTGGGGACTCAGCACCTTTCCAAGAAATGATGGCTTGTGCCGAGCCGCGGTGGAGAGTGCCAAGCCGGCATTTCTTCGCCAAAAAGGCAGTGCCAGCCCTGCATTCACATGTAGAAGAGATGGTGGGCCAGTCTTTGAGCATGTTGGTCTCTGCCAAAGTGCACGGCAGCGCCGACGTGTGGAGCTGTAACTACGGTCAGGGACAGTACATGTCATTTACGGCCCACTGGGTGAATGGGTGCCGGCACAGCCGCACCAGCAACTTGGACAGGTCACGCCACTTTTGCCTCCACGTTTGCACGTCCTTGGTCCAGCAAAGATGTCCGCCTCTACCACCTCTTCTTCCGCCGTGTCCTCAGCCGCCACCCCCCGTGCCAAGTCCCATTACCCGACCGGCATATCACATGTGCAGGGCGCAACGGTGTCACGCTGTGCTGCACCTGGTATGCCTTGGCGAACGTAGTCACACAGGGGAGGAACTTCTGAGTGTAATGAACAGAGAAATCGACAGATGGCTGTCTCCGCGCAAACTGAAAATCGGAACCATGTTGACCGACAACGGAAAGAACATGGTGTCTGCTCTGCGTCAAGGAAGGTTGTGCCATGCGCCATGCATGGCTCACGTGTTCAATCTGGTTGTCAAGCGGTTCCTAAAATCCACCATCCCACTGCAAGACATCCTTAAAATGTCACGTAAACTTTGCATGCATTTCAGCATTCCTACACCGCAAAGCACACCCTCCTTGAGCTGCAGCGGCAGAACGGAATTCCACAGCATCGCCTGATCTGCGACGTTGCAACAAGGTGGAATTCAACCCTACATATGTTAGACCGCCTTTACGAACAGCGAAAGGCCATCACCGATTTCCTGATGTTACAAGCGGATAAAGGTACTTCCCTGTGTAACTTAGATGTCAGCCATTGGCAGCTCATGCGTGACACCTGCCGCTTGCTGAGGCCCTTTGAGGAGGCCACGCTATTCGTGAGTCGGCAGGACTATGGGATGAACGACGTCATTCCTCTGTTGCACGTTCTGGAACAAATGCTGTTAACAATGGCTGGTCAGGGTGCGGTAGATGTGGCGCACAGATCTCAACGCCACATGACCCCTGTGGGGGCAGGACAGGAAGAAGAGGAGGAGGTAGAGGAGGACATTGGTGCTCAGGAATTATTGAGTGAAATGGGTGGTTTTTCCACTCAGCGGACAGGAGTGGAGGAGCAGGAGCATCTGGTAGAGGAGGAGGAGGAGACAGAGGACCCAGACGCACCGTGGCAGTATGCTGTGGAGATGGAGGCAGGGAGTCCCTCGCATTCCTTGGCACAAATGGCCCATAGCATGCTCGGTTGCTTGTGTAGCGACAGCCGAATAATAACCATCAGACAGAGGGATGACTTTTGGCTGTCCACCTTGTTGGACCCTCGCTACCGTTCAAAAATGGTGGCCTTTTTCACACCTGCTGAGAGGGAGGCCAAAATAAAGTACTATAAAAACCACCTATGTAGTCAGTTGGTCTCTGCCTTTCTGCGCCAACGTCCATCCTCAGACACTGTGGGCCCTGTGCGCTCGCGTTCCGCTGCCATGGCAGCAGGGGAGGGGTGGGGTGGTAGGAGCAGTGGCAGCTCCACCAGCAGCGGCTGCCTCAGTCTGCAGTCGATGATGAGTAGCTTTCTTCACCAGCGCAGTGAGGAAACTACTAACCAGCCGCAGCAGCAGCAGCATCAGGTGGACCTGGAGCAGGACCTCAAACAACAGGCTCGGGCCTACTTGGACAGCACCCTGCCAACCGAGGTAGACAATCCCCTTGACTACAGGGCAACGAAACTTGACCTTTGGCCCCAACTAGCTGAATTTGCCCTTGAAAGGCTGTCATGCCCGGCCAGTAGCGTGGCATCGGAGCGCGTGTTTAGTGCGGCAGGAGGTATTGTAACTCCGCGGAGGACACGACTGTCCACCCAAAGTGTGGAGAGACTCACGTTTGTGAAAATGAATCAGGCGTGGATTAGTCTGGATTTCAAACCACCAGTTCCTGACACAACTGACTAAATCCGCCATGAATCATGCCCCAAACATGTTATTATTTTTAACATAGGCCTCTGTATGGCCTTCAATTTAAGCTGCTTACGCTTCGCCACTCTGCCATGGGCCCCTGTACCGCCTCCTCTTGCTGCTGCCAGGTCCAGAGTGTGTCATGGGTCCCTGTACGGCCTCCCATTGCTGCTGACTTCATCGCCAGACTCTGCCATGTGCCACTTTCAGGTCTCCTTACACTGTTGGTGGGTTCCATTTTGTCATAGGGTGCTGGCAGATTACGGGCCTCCCATTGCTGCTGCCAGGCCCGTAATCTGCCATGGGCCCCCGTACCGACTCCTCATGCTGCTGCCAGGCCCGTAATCTGTCATGGGCCCCTGTACCGCCTCAGGTCCAGAGTGTGTCATGGGTCCCTGTACGGCCTCCCATTGCTGCTGTCTCCATCGCCACACTCTGCCATGTGCCACTTTCAGGTCTCCTCACACTGCTGGTGGGTTCCATTTTGTCATAGGGTGCTGGCAGATTACGGGCCTCCCCTTGCTGCTGCCAGGCCCGTAATCTGCCATGGGCCCCCGTACCGACTCCTCATGCTGCTGCCAGGCCCGTAATCTGTCATGGGCCCCTGTACCGCCTCCTCATGCTGCTGCCAGGTCCAGAGTGTGTCATGGGTCCCTGTACGGCCTCCCATTGCTGCTGTCTCCGTCGCCACACTCTGCCATGTGCCACTTTCAGGTCTCCTCACACTGCTGGTGGGTTCCATTTTGTCATAGGGTGCTGTATGGCCTCCCATTGCTGCTGCCAGGCCCGTAATCTGCCATGGGCCCCCGTACTGACTTCTCATGCTGCTGCCAGGCCCGTAATCTGTCATGGGCCCCTGTACCGCCTCCTCATGCTGCTGCCAGGTCCAGAGTGTGTCATGGGTCCCTGTACGGCCTCCCATTGCTGCTGTCTCCATCGCCACACTCTGCCATGTGCCACTTTCAGGTCTCCTCACACTGCTGGTGGGTTCCATTTTGTCATAGGGTGCTGGCAGATTACGGGCCTCCCATTGCTGCTGCCAGGCCCGTAATCTGCCATGGGCCCCCGTACCGACTCCTCATGCTGCTGCCAGGCCCGTAATCTGTCATGGGCCCCTGTACCGCCTCTTCATGCTGCTGCCAGGTCCAGAGTCTCTCATGGGTCCCTGTACGTCCTCCCATTGCTGCTGTCTCCATCGCCACACTCTGCCATGTGCCACTTTCAGGTCTCTTCACACTGCTGGTGGGTTCCATTTTTTCATAGGGTGCTGTATGGCCTCCCATTGCTGCTGCCTCCACCGCCACACTGTGGCTCCACACTCTGGTTTTGGCCCCGTGACTGCCCAAATGAGTGAAGTGTGCGGTGATTCTAAGATCGACGGCACTCATCTGCATGTCATACTGACTGACAGTATTATTTCTCTTCCCCAGCAGACTCCAAGGGCATTTAAATTAAAGGTACAGTGTTCTGCACTAATATAAAGGCTCTCTGAAGCCTAGAAACACCCTTTTTATAAATTAAATTCGCAGCGAATATATTCGACTTGAATCGAATTTATTCCGCGAATTCGCCGAAACAGCCGAATCGAATTTTTGAATAATTCGCTCATCTCTACTTATGATCATTGACACTACACGAGGTGAGATCTTGCATAGTGCACCAGACTTAAGGAGACTGACAGTTATTTTGTGCTTCTTCCATTTGCGAATGATTGCACCAACTGTTGTCACCTTCTCACCAAGCTGCTTGGCGATATTTTGGTAGCCCAGTCCAGCCTTGTGTAGGTCATCCTTGGACAGATCTTTGGTCTTTGCCATGGTGGAGAGTTTTGAATCTGATTGTTTGATTGCTCCTGTGGACAGGTGTCTTTTACTCTATACAGGTAACAAAATGAGATTAGCAGCACTCCCTTAAAGGGACTGCTTCTAATCTCAGCATGTTACCTGTATGAAAGACACCTGGTAGCCAGAAATCCTGAATGATAGGGGATCAAATACTTATTTCCCTCTTGAGGGTGGCCCAAGATGTAAGGTGTCTTAACCGTGTAATAGTATTTTGGTTTGTTGGGAACCTCCGAATTCTCTGGGGATCTAAGCATTCAGTGCAATCTTCTAGCAAGTCTGTGACACTTGTAGTTCCTTCTGGTACCATCTAGAGTTTTTTATGATCTATAGAGGGTACCCTAGCAGGCTGGTTCTCAAACAGATATAGAAGTTGGGGGTTAATTGCCATTTTAATTGTCACATTCTATACCAGTAAGGATAAAGGTTGGGATGTCCATGCATGAAATTGTTTTGTTACGTCCCTATATACGGGGAAGGGAGGGGGGCAGAGGAGTTCCACTTACAGAGAGAATAATAGGTGGGTGTAATGTGAATAAACTGCAAAAGCAAAAGATGGAGGGAGCACCAGTTTCGAGGGCTGATCCCCTCTTCATCAGAGCCCAGAGCCCATGGTTTTGTCGAGAGACAATTAAGAAGGACCTCCTTGGCAAAAGGTTTCTCTAGCAATAGTGATGCATTGAACAACAGACTATTCAGAGTACTGTTGCCTTTTCAAAAAATTACCCCAGTATACCAGTTGTGAAGATGAAATGGTGTCTTTATTTTATAAGTTAAGGACTCTGATGAAGAGGCGATTAGTCTCGAAACGCATCAGACGTTTTGGTAGATCTTCACGCAATTGGGGTTCACCCAGTAGATGTTCTCAGACATGATGTCTGATGTTCCTTTATTTTTGTGCTGTTTGTGAGTATACATCTGCTTCTTTTAATACAATTAAATTATTTTTATTGAGGTAATGCGCTAGGCTAGTGCACCGTCCATCTTTAGTTTTTGCTGTTTTTTCTCTGGGTTTCCCCAACCTGTCGAGAGGGCAGCAAAGCTGGTACCTATAGTGAAGCCATTGAACAGCACTTGTCGTTTGGCCTGTTGATGCATTTCTCAAGGGTGGCTAATTTTTCTTCTTCTTTTACATTTGACTTTGGGTGTAATATGAATGCTTAGGTATTTGATTGACTTCAGCTTCCAGCTGTAGTTACAATTAGTATATATTTGTGCAAGACGCATCGCTGGGATACCAGTGGGGAGCACTTTGGTTTTAACTGCATTTATTTTATATCCGAACAGCATACCATATTCATCCAGTTGTTTTATAGTGGTTCAATAATGATAAGTGTACATTCATAAACAACAGCTTTATTTTTAATTCAGCTTTGTAAATGATTCGACTTTGGGGTGTGCGTGGGGGCTTTCATTAGAGCAGACCTACTATGTTCAAGGACTGTGAAAAAACAATCACAGCAAACAACAATTAGGACTAGGAGATATGTCCTGTGAAAAACACATTCAGTTTGATATCGCTGTACAGTGGACAGGCATTAAAGAGGCTGCAAGACATCAGCAACATTAAGGTGTAGCAAAGGATGAAAGAAAAGGTTAAAAACCCTTTCTCCCCCACAGCCAAATTCTCCAACATACACAACATTTTGTTTCCTACCAGAGGCGTAACTAGAACCTTCAGTGCCTTGGTGCAAGAAACCATGAAGGACCCCCTAACCTCTGGTCCTGGGGCCCTTCCCTTCAGGGTGTTTCCCACTAATCCCAGGACCCTTTACTCCCATTTTGGGGCCTTTATAGGGCAGTAGGGCCCCCTTTCTGCCATCTTCATGCTCCCCCCAGTGGTGGAACACTGGGGCCCGGTCAGAAGTGTGACCTTTGTGACCCTGGTAGCTCCACCACTGGGTGCTAGCAATATTGTTGGGGGTACTGTAGACCCCCTGGAACCGCCCCTTCTGACATGGAGCCCATATGGGCCCCCTGCAAGGTTGGAGCTACACCAGTGGAACATTATACAGGGGGGAGCAATAAGAAGTATACAGTTGGGGGGAGCAGTGAGCAGTATACTGTGGGGAGGGAGCATTGAGCAATTATACTGTGGGAGAGGGAAGCAGTGAGCAGTATACTGTGGGGGGCAGTATACAGTGGTGGGGGGATCAGTGAGCAGTATACAGTGGAAGGGGGGGGAACAGTGAGCAGTATACAGTGGAAGGGGGAGAGCAGTGAGCAGTATACAGTTGGGGGGAGCAGTGAGAAGTATTCTGTGGGGAGCGGACAGTGAGCAGTATACAGTGAAAGGGGGGAAAGCAGTGAGCAGTATACAGTGGGGGGGGGAGCAGTGAGCAGTATAAAGTGGGGGAGAGCACTGATCAGTATAAAGTGTGTGTGGGGGGGGGAGCAGTGAGCACTATACAGTGGGGGAGAGCAGTGAGCAGTATACAGTGTGGAGGGGAAAGCTGTGAGCAGTATACAGTGGGGCAAGGGGCAGTGAGCAGTACACAGTGGAAGGGGGTAGCAGTGAGCAGTATACAGTGGGAGTGGGGAGCAGTGAGCAGTATATAGTGGGAGGGGGGTGGCAGTGAGCAGTATACAGTGTGAAGGGGAGGACGGGAACAGTGAGCAGTATACAGTGTGGGGGTAGCAGTGAGCAGTATACAGTGAGGGGGAGAGAACAGTGAGCAGTATACAGTGGTGGGGGGCAGTGAGCAGTATACAGTGTGGGGGCATTTGGAGGTAGCTGTGGGAGTATACAGTAGGGGGGTGCAGTGGGCAGTATACAGTGGAGGGGAGCATCAGTGAGGAGCATAAGTGTACTAACCATAGAAGGAAGCTGAAGTATTATACATGGAGGGAATTGCTGCAGGAGTCACTCACCATATGGCTGGAGGGGAAAAGACTCCTGGGGTTGCCATCTGTGCTCCCCCTCCCAGTCCTCTACCATTTTCAGATAGAGTAGCCACCTTTCTATGTAAGTGAAGCTGGCCACTCCCCAGACCCACCCACCATCTCGGTTAGCCCATGGAGAAGCTGCCATCTGGGAGAGAGGCCATGGGAGCTGCCAGCCACCTGCAACAAGGCTACACATCGGGCACAAAAGCTGCACTGCATTCGGGGAAGAAAATCAGAGGCCACCTGTAGCTTCCTAAGGGTGGCCCTGGTTGTAGAGACAATTGCGACTCCTTCTAAGGTCCTCCAGTGTTTCCTACATGCCATTAATCTACTTTAACAGACCTGTTAGTGCCAACAAGTCCTACACTAATACCTTCCTACGCACTTTATCAGCAGTACTCCCTATGTTTTCCCTACCACATCTAAAGGACATTGTCAATATAACTCAGTGGTGCTCCAGGTGAGCAGGAGGGAGCAAGGACAAGGAAAAAGGGGGATAAAAAGCCAAAAGAGAGAGCTTTCTAAGAGTAGTGTTCAGTATTATGTGTATAGAAAGTATAGCAAAAAGTGTGGTAAGCATATACTTACTTTCATGAGGTTGGGTCTTAGGGTCAAGCAACCTAATTCAGCATATGTGGAGAATATGACTGCCTCCATGCATTATTTATTGGTAGCTACAGCTTACAGTATAGCTGTAGCTACCAATAAATAAGTGGTAATGATACACAGTAACTTATAGCAACCAATCAGTGAAGGACAATAATGTGCAGTAACTTCTAGCAACCAGTGAGAAGAATGATGTGTCATTACAGCTCACTGATTGGTTGCTGAAAGTTACAGCACATCATGTCCTCACTGCCTGCACACCATGGACTGGGGAGGTGAGTGGTTAACTGAGTGCAGGTAGGAACAGATCCCAATGTGACCAGCATCTCAGAGGATGGGCTGCCAGGAATAAATGACTAGCCATGCTGCCTGCAGTAGAAGGACCGGCCAGGAATAGAGAAGTAATACAGGACAAGTGAAACTTACACAGCAAATCAGGTTACAGCACATCATCTCCTCACTGCCTGCACACCATGGACTGGGGAGGTGAGTAGACCACCCAATAGACAGAAAACTCCTAGAATGTGTTATTAGCAATGAGCAGAGCACACAGAGCTATGAAGGTTAACTGAGTGCAGGTAGGAACAGAGCCTAATGTGACAAGCATCTCAGAGGATGGGCTGCCAGGGATAAATGACTAGCCATGCTGCCTGCAGTAGAAGGACCATCCAGGAACAGAGAAGTCATATAGGACAAGTGAGACTTATACAAAGTTTGTCCTTGCAGTGCAGCTTGTTGTTTGGTGTCAGAGGCAGGCAGCACCTCTCTCTCCTTCACCGTCACCTTCCTTCCCCACCGCCAGCTCAACCC